ATTGGGATGGGGAATGGGAGGGCAGGACAGAGAAGGAAGTATGTGGAGGGATAACTAACACTAAAAGCCTTCAGAAAAAGCCATACAAAAACCTACCACTATAAAGGCTTCTCAAAAATATATACACATACATTATTTTTAATATATTTTTATTATTTTTAAATTTTTTCATGTGTATGATGCATTGCCTGCATACATGTAAGTGCATGTGGAGATCAGAAGAGGGTATCGGATCCCCTGGAACTGGAGTTACAGACAGTTGTTAGTTATTATGTGGGTCCTGGGAGTCGAACCCGGGTCCTCTGCATGAGCAGGCAGTGCTCTAACCCCTGAGTCATCTCTATTTAAAAAAAAAAAAAAGATTAAAAGGATTTATCTTACAACAGGGGATACTGCCCTGACTAAAACACCAAAGGCTAGCAAAGTAAAAGTCCAATGCAAGGAATAGATTCCCTCTTTTGAAGCTGTTGACCAGGATTCTCATAGATACTTAGACAATGCTGGGTTTTGACCCTGCTCTTGCTTACCCACTATAACTTGACAGAAAGACACTATTGCTGAAGACAGTCTATACATGAGCTGTAGAACAAACAAGGAGAAATCAAGCTAGTATTGATTCCAAAGCTTCATCTCTATTGGCTAGCTTTCATAGTGCTGGAAGGCACAATGCATGCTACCAGAAGAGAATACTAATTATTAACCTTATCCAACTGTAAATCCCGCATGCTTCAACAACTGCCCTTGCAAGACAGGTCTTCTGGTAAAATAGTGGCACAAATATTATGGAAGTAACCACCCACTATCTAACTGGATTTAAAGTATGCTTCAATAAAATGGAGCCCATACTTGACATTGATATCAGGCCTAGGAATGTGTGGCTAGACAGGTCACAGGCCATAGGCAAGAAACTAATACTATTATTTTGTTAAAGAGGTAAATTATTAAAGCCACTCCTAATAACTTGTTAAATCCATAGATTAATGCATCTCTCAGCTCTCATCAGAGAAGCCTCCTTATGCAGTAGATGATAAACAACACAGAAAACCACAACAGGCCAACATGCAGAGAATGAGAGACAGAAGAGTGTTTATCTCTGAATAGGACACGTATATCAACTTCTGCCTTCATTATGGAAGATGGGGCAGAAATATTGTAAGCACCAGAAGTGGCAGATGACCACAAGGAAACAGTGTTTTCCAGAGAGCTGGAAAGTTGCTCAAATGAACTGACAGCAATGGTGACAGCATTGATAAATACCAAAAAGCTCAAGCCAGACACCCCACCCAAAAAAAAATCCTAGCTTAGACAAAAGGGAGTGGATAAGAAACCTAAACCCTTCTGGTCTACATAGTGAGTTCCAGGCCAGCTGGGGCTACAGCAGGGAGACCCCATCTAAAAAGACAAAAAAAAAAAGAAAAACAAAAACAAAAGAAAAGAAACCCAAACCCTGCCTGAGAAACTATTGGCAATTGATGGCTGCTGGGAAGGGGAGGAAATCATCTTTCTAAGAGAGTGACTATTGGCAGGCTGACCAGGCTCCAGTGGATGGAACTACACTAAGGGGCATTTTGGGACACACATTTGGACACACATTTGCATATATACATATATATATGTATATATATTAGAGCGCATGAAATTTGGTGAGGGGGTAGTAAAAAGGGTGCAGAAAGGGGAAAGGATTAAATATGCTCAAAATATATTGTATGAAAATTCAATTTAAAAAGGAAATGAAATATATGGCAGGTCCAGGTAATATCAGTCCTTACTAGGTATCAGCACAGAACATGGAAGATTTAAATTAATATCCTAATAATTTGAACACAAAATCTAACCAAAACTACTGCATAGATAAGTATACAAATGTATTTACCACAATGCACATCTTAAAAACATGACTATAAACAGACTTTAACAAAGGTAGTTTATTTAATCACTAAGTCTATCTCCCTAAACTACAGTAAGGAAACAGAGACCAAAGCTGTCCTACCTTCTAGACAGATAAAGTTTTGTTGGAACACAGTCACACCTACTAATTAATGCACTGTCAATGGCAACTTTTGTGCTGTAAGATCAAAAAAAAGAGACTGTATGATTCACAAACTCTAAAATATTACATTTCTGACCCTTTATTAAAATATTTACCAGTTCCTGTCTTAAAATATTAGCTAAATGAGCCAGGCATGGTGGCACATGCCTTTAACCCCAGCACTTGGGAGGCAGAGGCAGGCAGATCTCTGTGAGATTGGGAAGATCCTAGTCTGCGCACCAAGTTCCAGGCCAGACTTAGTACAGGGGCATCTTATCTCAATGTTATTAGCATATATATATGGATATATATATGCTATGGATAAAAAGCTTTAGTTTATATATAAATATATATATATATCCATAGGTATCATCTTACTTTGGGTTTGAGCCTCATCCTCATATCAGTCTTTCCTTAACATATTATTATTAAAGCTTTCATTTATTAAAATAAATCTTAAAAGAGCTATCTTGGTTTTCTTTATTAGCATATGTTAATTGTACAAAGCAACTGGTTTATTTATAGTTCTACAGAGGCACATAATGTACTTGGATCATAGTAAGTTTGTATGTTGCCATTTCTCACCCTCTCTTTCCCCTATAACTTCACTAATAGGCTCCCTTATATTTCATGCTTTTTTCTTTTCTTTTCCCTAAATTTTACTTATAAAGAAAACACCTAACTCTTGTCTTTGAGAGACTGGCAGCTTCCATTTTCTTGAAAATGGCATATTTCATTCTTCCCTATGAACATGTACAAGAATTTTTCTAGTTATTTCCTCAATGCTATGCTTACACAGAACTCACAATGTATTAGGTATTATAAATAAGAAAGTAACTAATTCTGGTTGGGTTATGGTAGAATATCAATGTGGTTTAGATTTGAATTTTCATGATAGTTAAAGGCACTAAACTTTTATTTTGTTTTGTTTCATTTTGTTTTGTTTGAGAAAGGGTCTAACTCTGTAGCCCCAACTGGCCTGGAACTAGCTATGTAGACCAAGCTGGCCTCTATCTCAGAGATCTGTCTGCCTCTGCCTCCCACGTGCTGGGATTAAATGTGTTGCCACTATCCCCAGCAATGCTGAACAATTTTTCTTGTACTTACTGGCCATTTGTATTTCCTCATTTGAAAAGTATCTGTTCCATTCATTTGCCCATTACTGATTGGATTTATTTGATTTTTTACTTTATTTTAGATTTTTATATGTCCTATACAATAACGGTCGCCCTCCCTGTGAATAGCTAACAATGATTTTCTCTGATTCTACAGGCAGTTTCTTCACTCTACTGACCATTTTGCTATGCAGAAGCAATTTCATCAATCATATTTATGAATTCTTCCTATTATTTTCTGAGCTACCGGGAGTCACATGGAATAGAATCTTGGCCACTTCTATGTCTTAAAGTGCTTCTCCTATTTTTTTCTCTAACAGTTTCAAAGTTTCAGACCTTATATAAAGGACTTTTTTCATTTGGGGTTGAAAAACAGATCTACTTTCATGGCTCTCTGTAGGGGTATCCAATTTTCCCAACACTTGTTAAAGAGGCTATCTTATTTTCTAATTTCATTGTTTGTTTGTTTGTTTGTTTGTTCATGACAGGTCTCCCTGTAGCCCCAGGTGACCTGGAACTTGCTACGTAGTCCAGGCTCATCTTAAACTCACAGAAATGTACCTGCCTCTGCCTGTAGAGTGCTCAATTAAAGATGTGTGCCTTTAGCCTGGCTATCTTATTTTCTAAAGTATGATTTGGGGTACCTTTGCCAGAAAGCAGATTGCTTTAGTTGTGCAGGCACATCTCTGGATCTTCTATTCTATTCCATGGGTCTGAGTGTCTGGTTTTGTGCTAGTATCATGCCATTTCTGTCCATAATTCTTTCTTGTTGAACACTGCTGTCTTTACTATCACCACGGCTGGCATTCTCAAACTAGCCTTTCAAATTGCTACCTGCCAATTTCACTGTGGCCATAATTCAGCTGTAAGAAAGACTGCAACAAAACTCATCTTTCAAACTTTGTTATGTTCCTAAACATATGCACCTGTTCACTTCCTTAATATTTACCTAAATAAACTTCTTGACTGGAGAATTACAAATCTTTTCAAATTTCTACACTGAATTTACTAATACATGATGTCCATAAGCTATTATAGTACTTACTGAGTAACGTTAATGGGGCTCTACTCTTGTGCAGCAATTTGAAAGTACTCATCGAAGAACCCCTACTTCCAGCCTTACTGGCTGACTAAACCTGGTTTACTAAACACATAATTTTGTTCATGGTTGATATTGGTCTCTATATAGCCTAATGTCTTTCCTTTCCTAGTCTTCACTGATCTGTATGATATTGCCTCAACATGACAGATGTCATTTTGCTATTTTAATATTGAATTAAAGTAAAAAGATGCCATGAAAAATGATAATGAAAAGAAAATAGAACTCTTGAGAAACAAAATAACAACTTCTGTGAGGTCTTGATTACTTACATTTAGATTCCAGTAGCAAAGTCCCTTCTACAAAAAGTCCTTTCCTTTCTACAAACTACAGATGGTCCAAATGTCTAATTTTAAAGTGGCAAAATGAGGGTCAAGACGAAGTGCTACCACCTCAGGAAATCCATATTACATAATATGCTATATCTTAAAACTCAGTTGAACTAAATAGATGATAGATAAGTTATATATGTATGTGTATGTGTGTGTGTGTGTGTGTGTGTACATTTATGTGCAATTAGGAGATATATATATGTCTGTGATTAGGTGCTACATGTATACTTTGATTCTCTCATGAAATAAAATCATTATTATGTCTAAACAGATTTCATTTCTCAATACATTTATAAAACTTAGAATTTTAGAAAATAACTGCAAAAAATATGACAATGAACACAAATTAAAACTTTTGAAGCCCACTTTTAGAAGTTTTTTGAAAATGAAAGTGTAAAATGAGGGGCTTATAGGATTATGCTTACCAGAATGATGGCAGTAGTCCATATACTGTGGTACTTGGACTGTGAAGGCTAGTAAATCTGGAGCTAAGAGAGATTCAGGCTTTCTACTTTCATTGAGCCACTTGGTGCTATGAAGGTCTTTGGTGTCAGAAGGACCCTGAAACAAGGGAATCAATTTCTCCTTTCCATTATCACCTGAACAGAGATATTGAAGGGAAAAAAAAAGCATGAAAATAAACAAAAATTTTATTAAATATGAGTAGTTTAAGAATGCTTGATCTTAAAATATACTACCACAACAACATTTCAATAACATATGGCATATACCTGTACATCTAGTTAATAACTTAGTTTGATAAGGCCATTTTAGCTTTTGGGGGGGGGTCTTTTTGAGACAGGGCCTCCCTGTAGCTCCAGCTGTCCTGGAACTCACTATGTAGACCAGGCTGGCCTTGAACTCACAGAGACCTGCCTGCCTCTGCCTCCCGAGTGCTGGGATTAAAGGTGTGAGCCACCACGCCCGGCCTAAGATTTGCTATCTTGCTAATGAATAAAAATATATTTAGAAAAGTTTATCAGCTAAAATGACATAGATACAATTCATCAGAGTAAGTACTCTTATAAACTTTCTTGCAATTTAGTTTTTGCAGAAAAAAAATGTAAGTTGGTTTAAGAAAATTCTTCTGTATGAAAAAAAAAAA